GTCTATACCGGGGTATTGGCCAATTGATGGGTGTTGTCGAGTTATAATCAAGAAAGAAGTCACACTGGTAATCCAAAGGTAAACACAAGTAACAATGTATGATTGAAGACGAAGAACCAAACTAGATACATGAATGAGTGTCCTTATATATCCCTGGGTTCTTCCTGTGTAGATGGGTAGATAGTAGAATGGTAGAAATGCCTTGGCACTTTCTACTGATCTACCATCTACTGTTCTACTACCTGCATGGTCACGTGATCCTATTCATCTGGGGGGCCGCCCCCCGGATGATCAACAAGGAAGGCGGTGTGGGCGGGCAGAACAGGTCGATTGGATCTCGACGGCCCGTCCGTGCAACATGTGGGGTTGCCAACGATTGGCAACTAGCATGTCCATAACACGTATTCATCTCATCTTTTACAACCTCTTGATATCGGCTGTTTTACGGTCTTAAAACGGTCGTACGGTCGGCTGGTTAAATCAAAAATACGGGTCGGGATTAATCATATTGATAAACTTGATTTCCTCGAAGCATACCCCCTCGCCCGAATTGAAGCTTTCGAATCAGAGACTATCAAAAATAGCTTCGGAGCAGCCGGTTTAGTCCCTTTTGCACCGGAGAGAGTGATTTCGAAGCTTGATATTCGGCTTCGAACCCCGACCCCCCTATCCAGCCGGGGTAGCGATTGGGAGCCAAAAACGCCTACCAACTATAAACAACTACAAAAGCAAGCTTCCTCAATCAAAGCATTACTTCGTACGAGATCAAGGAGCCCCCCGAGCCCGTTGAATTCTGCGATAAACCAGGTTTTAAAAGCCTGCCAAATCAATATACAATCTGTGGCTTTGCTTGAGAAAGAAGTGAGCGAATTACGTACCGCCAACGAGAAGCAGAAGCAAAAGCGTACCAGATCCCGGAGGCAGATACCTGCCGAAGAGGGACTCTCGGTTCAAGAAGCTTCTCAATTACTTACTGAGCCGGTGGAAGCAGTTGAAGCACCTACTCCTACCCCCGCCATACCTAGAGAACCGGCTTTGGAACCACATATACGGGCGCCAGCGAGATGTAGTGGGTGCGGATCAACATGGCATAAATTTAATAGATGTCCAGCTAGATAGATTCATTTTAGTTTATTTAATTTAATGGCGTTTTGGTTAAGATAAATGCATTTAAATTTAGTGAGTTGGGGTAGGGTGGCCACTCGCTTACAATGGCCACTCGCTTACCGATTACGTTATAGAGTTCTATCCTAATTAGCTAAGAGTTTCGTATTTTCCTAGTTTACTACATGTACGTGTGCCGAGGAATGTGATATCCTTAGCTATATAAACGCGTATGATAACGTCCGTGAAATTCTACAACAAACCATGACGATCAAACGGAAGCACAAGTGGAAGCTAGCGTGGTGCTAGCGGACCCTGCTCTGCTTGAAAAAATTGACAAATTATTCGCTTGCAATGTGGGTGAATACATCAATTTACCCCAATTGGTCGTTGTCGGAGATCAATCCAGCGGAAAGAGCTCTGTCTTAGAGGGCCTAACAAAACTTAACTTCCCCCGGAACAGTGGTCTATGTACTCGATTTGCGACCCAGATCATATTTCGGAGAGATCCCAGCTTGAAAACACGGCGAATCACTGGCTCAATCATCTCAACAGGACACGACGATGGAAATATGAATTCTAGTTGGAGCATATCCGACATTGAGTCATTGAATGAGAAAGAGTTCGAGAATATGATGACTGAGGTGGGTCTGCAGTCCTGAACGCAACGATAAATGCGAAATTAAGCTTGTCCCAAGGTTCACGTGGCGATGGGCCTATCAACGTTAATAGAAGACAACCTGCCCACATTTTCGTCTGATGTTCTCCGGTTGGAGATAAATGGACCTCACGAGAATCATCTCAGTGTCATTAATGTTCCTAGGATCTTCAAAACCACAACACCTGGCCTGACTTCAAAGTCAGACATTGCCCTTATCAGGGACATGGTGCTCAACTACATGCGAAATCCTCGGTCAATAATGCTTGCCGTTGTTCCAGCGAATATGGATATTGCAACGCAAGAGATAATCGAAATCGCCAGAGAGTTAGATCCGGATGGAACGAGAACCTTACGGATCCTAACAAAACCAGATCTTGTCGAGAAAGGCGCAAAAGATAAGATAATTGAACTTGTCGAAGGGAAGTAGGAGTCCCAAGAATTAGGCTGGGTAGTAGTTCGAAACCTTGGCCAGAAGGACCTCCAAGACTCTTCAAAGAACCGTGACGTCGAAGAAGAGAAATTCCGCGATTCGCCTCCTTAGAATCGCCTCTCAAATAATAATTACGGTATCGAAGCTCTAAGAACGCGGCTGTAAGCACTATTGGCTTCTAACGTGCGGCGCGAGTTTCTATCGGTCAGTTCCTCTACAAGTACTAGCATACGAAGTCTGACCTGTGAATAAGTGGCAGGTGCGATCTAAAGTCTGGAAACGTCTTAAAGGATGTAAAAGAAGTCTTAAAAGCCTCGGAGAAGAGCGCGAATCGCCTAAGCAATAAAGCAAATATCTGCTCGAAATTATATCGAAGTTTCAGCGTATCACTAAGAATGTTCTCTATATAAATTACGGATCGTAAGATACTTTTAACGAAGAGCCTGATTTACGATTGGCAACTTTGGTTACTAACCGTAATGTAGAGTTTCCCGATGACTTTTCTTCTTAGGGTCATATCTATAGCTTTAAGTCATATGGTCATAATAACGACTCTGAAAATCGACTAAATATCATAGCGACTTCCCTACCGAGCTCTATTAGTGCCTATATAGGCACGGATGATGAAGGTATAGAGGAAGAGTAAGAAGAGCGTAAATCTGTCCCTAGTAGAAAGCTGAGTAGTTGTAGTGATATCGAAGATATCCTATATGACCGTGTCCAAATTTGGAATTCCCTGATATAAGGTATTCTCCCTTAGATCGAAAATCTCTATCGGGAATCTCGTGGCTTTAAATTAGGAACGTTTAACTCGGCTATCCTTTTAAGTGTACTAAAGAAACAATCTGCTAAATAGCCGTCTCTAGCGGAGGGCTATATTTATAGTATCATATCTATGGTTCACATTTTTACGAGTAAGGCATTAAACATATCCTATAGAGATCAGAGATAAGGTCGAAATATGCTTTCATTTCTAATAGACGACCTCATCGAGAAATATCAATAAGCCCTTACGATAACGGATTTTCTCCTCCGAATTGAGACGGAAGGAACGCCAATGTGCTATAGGACAATACACGACAATCCTCTCTTTCATCGTGCATGTGGATGATTACAACATTAAGGTACTCATGAGTTTCTCCCTTACGCACTTACGCGCCCGAGAACGACTTATGATTACAGATAGACATCAATAAGGCAGACAGCATCATCCACTCCCATTCCCATTTCGCTTGAGAGATTCAGATCACGATGAACGGTCACTCTGACGGGACCAATGGGTCTACGAATCACTTTGGTCAAGAAGACGTGGCCACCAGCACTGGAAACACTCCCATGAACCGGGAAAATGGGTTCAATAGCCTCGACACAAATGGTCACAGTGTGATCAACGGTGGTTCGACACCAATGACAAACGGAACAGGAAATCATCACAAGCCCTTCCAGCCTATTGCCATCTGCGGCATGGCATGTCGACTTCCCGAAGGCATCCACTCACCCTCGGAGCTGTGGTCCTTCCTCCACGCTGGACACGACGCTCGCGGTCCCGTGCCTTCCTCGCGCTACAACATCTCCTCCTTCCATTCACCACACAAAAAGCCCGGGAGCGTCATTGCTCAGCAGGGGTACTTTCTTGATTCTACTAACGACCTCGCCGCGCTGGACACGTCGTTCTTCTCCATGCCGCGCCGCGAAGTTGAGACTCTTGACCCCCAGCAGCGCTTGCTTCTCGAGGTCGCCCGCGAGGCCATTGATGACTCCGGCGAGACAGACTGGAAGGGTTCCAACATTGGCGTGTACGTCGGCAGCTACGGCCAGGACTGGTACGACATCTCGGTGCGTGACACGGAGGCCCATGGTATCTACCAAGTCCTCGGCCAAAACGACTTCATGGTCTCGAATCGCCTCTCCCACGAGCTCGACTTGCACGGCCCCAGTGTGACGCTGCGGACAGCTTGCTCCGCTTCTCTGATCGGCGTCAATGAGGCATGCATGTCCATTGCGCGCGGCGACTGCACATCCGCCATCGTTGGCGGCACTAACATCATCATGGCCCCGGCATCTACCGCTGCCAAGTCGGAGCAAGGCGTTCTCAGCCCCGATGGCTCATGCAACACATTTTCAGCCAACGCAAACGGCTACGCGCGCGGTGAGGGTATCGTCGCTATATACCTCAAGCACCTTGCGGACGCGATTAGGGACGGCAACCCCGTTCGCGCAGTCGTGACCGGCTCGGCAGCCAACCACAACGGTCACACACCAACAGTTTCACAACCCAGCTCTCAGGCGCAAGAAGCGCTGATCAGGCAAGCATACCGGAATGCTGGCATCGCAGAAATTGCTCGAACGGGCTTCTTCGAGTGCCATGGCACGGGGACAAGAACTGGTGACCCCATTGAAGCGGCGGCCGTGTCTGCCTGCTTCGGCAAAGCGGGCGTGCACATTGGCTCAGTCAAGGCGAATCTCGGTCACGCAGAGGGCGCGGCGGGCCTCGTGAGCGTTCTAAAGGCCGTCCTTGCTTTGGAGAACCGTACAATTCCCCCAAACATCAAATATCTTCCACGCAACCCTGCAATCCCATTCGAGGAAGCGAATCTCTTTATTCCAACACCATGGCCTGAAGATCGTGATGAGCGGGTAAGCATTAATAGCTTCGGTCTTGGAGGTTCCAATGCCCATGCTATCATCGAGTCAGCGGCCAGCTTCAATGGGACACGCAAGTTCAGGAGAGCAGACACCACATTTATTGCTATTCTCTGCGAATACCCCGGCATCCCTCAAGGCCATGGGCGAGAAGTACGAGGCTTTCCTTGAAAGAGCTCCAGATCTGCTGTCAGATGTGGCATACACCCTTGCTAATAGACGACAGCATCTGCCGTATCGCACATTTGCCGTCTGCACGAGTGACAAGATCACGCTGCCCGCTCCCGCTCCCTCTACCAAGGTTCAGCAAAGCCGGGAGACTTCCCTGGTGATGGTCTTCACTGGCCAGGGCCACAATGGGCACGCATGGGCTACGAGCTCCTCCGCTCCAAGACCAATCCGGTCTTCAGCAACACCATTGCATCCCTCGACAAGACTCTTCAAGAGCTAGGCCCGCTAGCTCCGTCATGGACCATCGACGGAGAGCTCCGCAAACCTGCACGGAAGAGTCGTGTTGATGAAGCCGAGTACTCTCAGCCTTTATGCACAGCCCTGCAGATTGCCTTAGTGGACACTTACGCTTCGATTGGGATCCGCCCGGCCGCGGTGCTTGGCCACTCCAGCGGCGAGATTGCCGCCGTATACGCCGCTGGCGGCCTCAGCGCCCGCGAGGGCTATCATTGTGGCTTTTCTGCGTGGGCTAGCAACTACGCGGCAGGGTTGCAAGGGCGCCATGGGAGCTTTGGGTATGAGTTGGGAGGCTGCCAAGAAGCATCTCGTGCCTGGCGTAGTGCTCGCCTGCGACAACGCGCCAAACAGTGTAACAATATCGGGAGATGCAGGTCCATTGGAAGAGATAATCAAGAGCATCAAGCAGTCTGACTCTAGGGTCCTGGCGACCGTGTTCAAAGTTGAAAAGGCTTACCACTCGCCACATATGGCAGAAATCGGGGCTCAATACAATGTGAGCATGACCGACGCCGGCGTCGTGGGCAACGCGCACACTATTCCATTCTTCTCAAGCATTTCAGGCCAATACTTAGCCCCTGCCGCGAAGAGCAGATTTGGACCCAAATACTGGCAGACCAACTTGGAATGCCCTGTGTTGTTCACATCAGCCGTAAGCTCCACTATTAAACAGCACGTTGGCCCCTCCAAGCAGGTTTTCCTTGAAGTTGGTCCCCATGCAGCTATGGCCGGGCCTCTTCGTCAGATTCTTACCCAAAGCTCCAGCAGCGCATCGTACATTTCGACTTTAACCCGACGAACTGACAGTGCCGAAAGTTGGCTTTCGGCTCTTGGCCAACTCTTTGCTCAGCATGTATCCTTCAATCTTCAGGCTTTGATGCCCACTGGAAACGCCCTTTCAGATTTGCCCCCTTACCCGTGGGATCATCATCGCAGTCATTGGAGCGAATCACGCATCGCTCATGAGTGGCGCATGCGCAAATACCCACACCATGACCTGTTGGGTGCAAAGGTCCCTGAAACCACAGACCTCGAGCCTGTGTGGCGGAACTTGCTGCACATTGAGAATGCTCCATGGATACGTGACCATAAGATCAACGCGGATATCATATTCCCCTTCGCCGGGTACATCGCCATGGCGGCTGAGGCTATCCATCAGATCACGGGCATCGAAGAAGCGGTTGAGTTTCGAAATATTGCCGTGCGCACCGCCTTAGTTATCAACGAGAGTTCACCGAAAGAGGTTGTGACAACTTTCCATCGGCTCCGTCTAGCAGATTCGCTGGACAGCGAATGGTGGGAGTTCAGCATCGCATCACACAACGGACACACGTGGACAAAACACTGCTCCGGCGAGATTCAGGCTCGGGACGAAACAGTCGCCATGCGAAATCGCGTTGGCGAGCAGGAGGACCTGCCGCGTAAAGCTTCCAGCAAGCGTTGGTACGATACCATGCGCAGCGAGGGCCTCGACTATGGCTACCATTTTGAGAGTCTTGGAAATATCACAACGACAACGACCGGCGCACGAGTCGCTCGCGCACAAGTCCGCAACAATTGGCATGGAGACGAGCAATCCTACCACCTTCACCCTGTCATATTAGATTCCTACTTCCAACTTCTCAGTATTGCGGCTCGGTACGGACTCACGTATGACTACCATCAAGTCATTCCCGCCAGCGTGGGCTCGTTAATTCTTCGCCGCTGCTCTGTCAACAATCTTGTGGTGTCAGCGATAGCTGTGCCTACTGGTAGCGGGGTCTGCGGAACAGGGACGGTTGCAGCTGGTGATGAAAACATCATCGAGCTCTCGAAAGTTCGGCTGACATCTTTTACAAATGGTGGCGTAGAAGAACGCGCGCCCATTACCGCGCGGAGTGAGTGGGTGCCACATATTGAGACTGAAGCTCTTAGTACTCTTGTGGAGCCGACGCGAGTGAATCAAGTCTACGCTGCAACGTTGGATGAGCTTGTCAGTCGCTCAATTTCTGCGTCTCGGAGATCGACTGCCGGTCTAGATATCATTCCAGAACTTCGACGATATAAGGCATGGCTTGATGAGACCCCGTGTTGTTCAGAAGAATTGGACGATGCCATATTGAATGCTCGTATCGAAACTCTCGCAAGATCTCTGGAGTCAACATCCGTTGCCCACATTGCCAAAGCCATCACTTTAGTCACAGATAATGCATCTGCTTTACTTTCCGGTCGAAAGAAGGCTTTTGAACTCTTGGATACAGAAAACACAATTGGCAAATTCATTCGCTTCTTAGAGGAATTTGATGGATCCGCATTTTTCAATTGCCTTGGCCACCAGAAGCCCAACCTCCGAGTTCTCGAGCTGGGCGCAGGCATTGGCTCGGCCACAGCTGGCATTGTTGAGGATCTGACACGGCCTGACGGCCAGGTGCTTTTCTCGCACTACGTTGTGTCCGATCCATCTCCAGGCATTATTGAAGCCCTCAAGACGCGCTTCCAAGGCCTTCCCAATATGAGTTTTGAAGCATTTGACATCGGGATTGATGTCGAACCCCAGGGCTTTGATGAGAGAGACTTCGATCTTATCATTGCGGCAGGAGTTCTTCACAGTACGCCCAAGCTTTCAGAGTCCCTCACCCGGGTTCGTCAGCTTCTCGCCCCATCAGGAAGGCTTCTGCTGCGGTCCTTGCGGCCCGGTCTATCGTGGTCCAAGTATGTCCTTGGACTTCTTCCCAATTCGGAGGTTGGGGTCGGTAACGGCAGATCCGGCGAGCCGTACGTCGATGTAAAGACTTGGCAAACGAGGTTGGCCACGGCAGGTTTCGAAACTACTGGCGAGCTTGCGTTCGATTCTGACCGGTCAAGTCATATAAGCCATGTTATTGTAGGGAGACCCCGGCGCGACCACCTTCTGGCGAAGAAGGCCACCATTCTTTCCGAATTTTCAGCTGGATCCTCCAGGTCTGATCCCATTACTAAAGAATTGCTCGCACGCGGATATGAAATTTCTTATTGCAGCCCCGCAGAGATTCCCCCGCCCGGTCAAGACATAATCGCCCTCCTCGATGGGCAAACATCGTTCCTGGAGCAGCTAGATACCACGAAACTTGAGCAGCTGAGAACTTTCATTAACAACATCGCTGATTCTGGCATTTTGTGGATAACGCAGCCATCTCAGAGTCAATGCGCAGACCCAAGCTTCGCCCAAATGCACGGTCTGGCTCGGTGTATCCGCTCAGAGCTGGGCATTGCTTTTGCAACTTGTGAGGCAGATGACATGGAGACCCCGCGAGGATGTCGATCGGTTGCCTGCGTGTTTCAAAATTTCTCAGAAAGAGTCAATGACGGAGAGATTGAGCCCGATTTCGAATATGTTATTGAGAATGGTGTGACGCGAGTCAATAGATTCTTCCCAGTCTCCTCTGCAAGCGAGGTTGCAGTCGGTCAGGCGACCAATGATGCGCGGCTTATTATCAGCCAGCCGGGACGTCTTGACACCCTTCACTGGAAAGGTGAGACTGTGAAAGCACCCCAAGGGGATGAGGTGCAAGTAGAGATCCACGCCGCGGGTTTGAACTTCCGCGTAAGTGATTCGCTTACCATTGTTCTGAAGGAACAAACATACTGATGACGTTTTTAGGATGTCTGGTGGCAATGGCAATTATCGAGTTGTCCCCTCCTACCTTTGGCTACGAGGCTACGGGAATCGTGCGTCGCGTCGGACCGAAGGCAGGAAAGCTCATTGTTGGAGACAGAGTTGCCCTCGTAGGATTCGATGTCTTTGCGTCGACCGTCAGGACCACCGAAAAGCTTTGCGAGAGGCTCCCGGACGAACTCGACTTCACCAGCGGAGCTTCCATGCCGCTGGTCTTTGCTACCGCCATTTACTCTCTCATCAACGTCGGGGGGCTTCATAAAGGCCAGGTATGTGAAACTTCTCTCTTAGGAAGCGATAATGCTGACTCTGTTTGCAGTCTGTTCTCATCCATAGCGGCTGTGGTGGCGTGGGCCTAGCTGCAATTCAACTGGCTCGGATGATTGGCGCCGAAGTCTATACGACGGTCAGCAGTGAGAAAAAGATCGACTTCCTTGTACAGGTGTTTGGTATCTCGAAAGATCACATTTTCAACTCGCGGGGTGTGAGCTTCCAAGAAGATTTGCTAAGACAAACCAATGGTAGAGGGGTTGACCTGGCGCTCAACTCGCTCTCGGGTGAGTTACTACATGCAACTTGGCGCTGCATTGCCAAATGGGGAACTTTGGTAGAGATTGGCAAGCGTGACCTTCTCGGCGGTGGCAAACTGGACATGGAATTGTTCCTTGCCAATCGTAGCTATCGATGTGTAGACATTGACCAGATGTGCAAGGAGAGGCCCGAGATGATCAGCCGGTGAGTTTTGGTCGCTGCTCACATGATGCCTAAGGTTAATATGGCAGCAAGCTTACTTCGATCCATGATGGACTTCTTCCGCGGTGGGTATATTCAAGCCATCTCGGTCGACAAGATCTTTCCTTGCTCCAAAATACAAGAATCATTCCAGCACATGCAGCAGGGCAGCCACATTGGGAAGATTGTGCTTCAATTCCGCGAACCGACATCTGCGGAACTTCAGCTTGGACAGGTTCAGCCTGTCAAAGTGTCTACTACAGCCGTGCTTGATAGCTCAGCTTCATATCTGCTCGTGGGCGGTCTTGGAGGTTTGGGTCGGTCCGTAGCGGTGTGGATGGTCCAGCACGGAGCCCGAAACCTCACATTCCTCTCCCGCAGCGCTGGGACAACAGAAGGACACAAGCTCTTTGTCCAAGAGATCCAGAGCATGGGCTGTGAGGTGCATCTAGTACGCGGAAGTGTCACTATTGTGGCAGACATGACACGCGCTGTTGCGGAGTCGCCTCGCCCACTCAAGGGAATACTCCAGATGACAATGGTGCTTCATGACCAAGCCTGGCAGAAGATGACAATTGACGAGTGGAACGAAACGACGGCGTCCAAGGTGAAGGGGACATGGAACCTTCACAACGAGACACAGTCGCTGAACATCGACTTCTTCATCCTGTTCAGCTCACTCTCCGGCATCGTGGGTCAGCCCGGACAGACTGGTTATGCCAGCGCAAACACTTTCCTCGACGCATTCGTCAAGTTCCGGACAAGCAAGGGGCTACCTTGTACGTCGCTCAACATTGGAGCCGTGGAGGGCGCAGGCTATCTTGTCGAGGAAGATGAGCTGCTCAAGAAGATGAAGGGGACAGGCTGGCGGGCGGTGCAGGAGTCGGAGCTACTGGAGGTGTTGGGGACCGCCATGCTTTCGGCAACAGCTAAAATTGGAACTCAATTCCAAGGGCCGGTCAAGGAAGATGATGCGCCAAAGTCGAGCCTCGTCAACCCAAACTCCACTCTCGTGGGCATTGCATCAGTAATTCCGCTAAGCAGTCCCGACAGCAGCGCAAGGCTACGCAAAGACGTCCGTATGTCTGTATTCCGCAACATCCGCAGCCAAGTCAAGGGTGGTGCCTCCAGCGACCGTTTGCGGCAATTTCTGAGCGCAGCCAAGGCCAACCCAGAGACGCTCAACACACCGCAGTCAGTCGTCTTGTTAGCGCAGGAGATTGGGAAGAAGCTACTGGGCTTGGTGCTGCGGTCTCTGGACGATGAGATTGATGTATCTCTGCCGCTTGCGCAACTAGGCCTGGACTCGATGGTGGCGGTAGAGATGCGCGCGTGGTGGAAGCAGATGTTTGGGCTAGATATCAGCGTACTAGAAATTCTGAGCATGGGAACGATCGAGAAGCTAGGCAAGCAGGCTGCTGAGTGCTTGCTGGGGCTGCATAAGCATCAGACCGACTTCAGGCAGGGGCGTGGTTAATCACAGACCCTCGAAATTACATTTTCGACCTTTTTACCCAATAAATCATATCTAGGGCTCCGAAAGGAATAAATGCGAATATATAACAGATACATATTAGCGTTCATACTGTTCATATTCGTAGATTTTATTGAGATAAGTGGGTGTACCTATTGAGTTGAGTTGACTCCCTTGTCGGAGGCGGGACTTCTCATCTATTTACACTAGCGTTTAAAAAAGCTTTGAGCCAAATTAGTATTGGATCCGAGAGATGCAGTATGCGCTTGTATCAGAATAAGTCCATGAGGCCATTGCACGGTGCTTGAGATACGTATTTCTACATAGATCTGATAGTAAAATAAAGGGCTCCCAAATTCTGATTCAGCAGTTGACTTTACCTAGGTAAACAGAAGAATATCATCTTGATTGGCGTAAAGCTAATGCTGTTTAACTCCAAGCCCATATTATCCATATTTTGAACTGACGCCAGGAACAGCAAAGTATGCACTAGTTTTCGAGGATCAGCTATACACATTCTTGCGACTTCTTCAGAATTTGTATGCTGCGATTATGTCATTGCCAAGCCTCCGTTGCATCCATGGAGATGTTATTTACAATACCATCTCCCTTTCCCGGATGTAGCAACCTTCTCGGCAATTTTCCAAAGATCCCAAAAATTCGAATTAGATGAGCTTACTGGGGTTATTTGACAACAATCTCTCTTCAAACTGCTTGGACAAATGGCATCAAAGTAAGTGTTATTGTTCGAAGCGCCAACCTACCCAAGAACAGGTAGACCAGAAGGGGACAATATCAAATGAAGAACAAAAGCGAAAGCCCATTCACAGACACTAACTAAATTTTACAAAGCACGATTAACAATGGAGCCCACGGCATAACTATCGTACGGGGAACAGTGGACGCCGTTCAGGCAGTCCTCCACCTTCTAGATACCGCACTCCAATGGCTGGTATCGCACGACAGAACTGGGCAGTGGGGAGCAGCACCGTTTTCTGAAAATCCACAACGCGCCGAGCAACTCAGAGAATTTGCAACAACCGGCCATGGTCTTTGGCTCGCTATCAAGGTTGCGAATAACATGCCCATTCTACGCCAAAATCGAATCTCCAATATAAAGCCCCAAACTATGAACGGAGAAGCTCCGGGGGTCATCGTAGGTGCGCTTGCGATTGGAGAGAGGCCGCCCTATGTGACAGCTGCCTCTGAGCCTGAGCTTTACGTGCGATTACTAGTCACGGATCGACAATGTGCTGGCAATCAGATTGGCAAACGCCTGTTGGACCATGCACGTGATCTTGCCAGCAAGGCTGGAGTCTCATTACTACGGGTAGATTGCTATGCAGGTGGCGACGGCAAATTGATCCGATACTATGAGCCTCAGGGGTTTAAGAGGTTCGAAAATTTGAACATGGAAGGCGAATGGCCTTGTCAAGTGCTTGCTCAACGGTTAGATGAGATGAAAGGAGAAGAGAGACGTTGATTCTTTCTTTGTCGGAGCATATTTCACGGCTCCGAAATGGACTTCGACATTTTTCAGATATAGTAGCTTCTCAGCGTAAGCGCACTATCTTACATTGGCTAGTGAGGCTAGTAAGAAGGCTGCGATATACAGTGATTATTGTAGAGAATCAAGACTGTTACCTTGCAATACCTAGGACTTCTAGTGTGGATTAGTTAGATCCTCTTCCTCTTTTCCTAGAGTCTATAGCTGTAGTACATTCGTATTTTAGCTTCATCCTTACATCTTTCGGTATCAATATTGGCGAAATTGACTACAGTATATCCGCTGTCTTGGTATGTAACGAAGTCAGCTATGCCGATACAAGTCCGATACGCATTCCGGTACCGGTCTTGTATCGGGGTAAAGCCCACCTGATAGGCCTCTGACAGCGAGAACTCGTTCTCAAGTGCTCCTCATGACTCAATATCCCTAGTGAAACAAGCAAAATGACTTGAACAAGGACACTGAATCTGCAGAATACCAGTTCCAACCTAGTGGACCTGGAAAGCGAGTCCGAAGGACCACTCCATACCAGTGTGGGTCCAGTTTCGTGACATGGAGATAAGGCACATCGCCCAACCTCCCAGGTTATTGAACATGTCAGCACCCACAACCAGGCGCAATCGTGCCCTGGCCTCATGTGAACCTTGCCGAGAGAGAAAAAGTCGATGTGATCATGGCAAACCAGTTTGCGCCTCCTGCCAGCGTCGTGGGCTCGACTCTCGATGCTATTACCATCCCGCACCTCTAACTAAAAATCGGAGTGCACAAAGACTGACCATGTCTACGCTACCCCGATCAAACCTTGCTACACCATCATGGAGCAGGAACAGCGCAAAATTCTGCCAGCCCCATCCTGGACGGTCTGCTGGACCGCCCAAATTTCACACATGGCCTTTCATGTCGACCGTCTCTGACACGCTGCCACAGACACCCACGCCGGGCTCGCATGACAGCAAAGCTTACGAGGCCCATCTAGCCACCATGAAGGAGATTGTGTCTCAATTGAGATACCTCCCAGTCATTGAAAAGTGTCTCCATCAATACTACTCTTCTAAGCATAACGCACTTGTACCGAAACCAGTCGTTCTGCACCTCCTGGAGACGCTCCGTATAGATCTGGTATCTTCGGGCCATATTCTTAGAGAAAAGGGAGAGCGAGTCGAGTTGGGCAATGTCTCGGAGATATCAGAAACTGTGCTGCTCTCTTCCTCTACAGAGGTCGTCATCACCCCATCCTTAGACCTGCATGGTTTCTTCGCCTTGTTCTGTGGCCCGAATCTTCGAGTCGAGACTATAGGTCTTTTATATACTATAGCTGCCCGTGCTTCGGCTTTTTTCGTCGACCGCGACGAGGATAAGGATGGCGCATTTGTCCAAGACATGGTTTGGTATAGTACGTTGACCTTACGACTAGCTCGCGACCTTGCACCTCAGTCAACCGACGTCATCATATGGTTAGCGAATGAAAATGCGCAGCTCAGATCATTCCTTGAAGGAGATGCGAGTGAGTCACATCATGCAAATTTTGTTGATTGTGGGATACTGATTGATTTCAGGCCTGGGTGTGTGGCGTTTGGTGGGCGACCTCACCACAGATTTATTGGCTCTGGGCTTGAACAGAGAAGCGACATATTCCCCTGAGAGAACCCCGTTTTTTCTTGCAGAATGCCGGAGGAGATGTTTTGTGACTGAATATTACCTCGAGAAAATGTTCGGCCTAGTGTTCAATCTACCTCCTCGCATTACCTCTCGATATGTTGACGTCAAGCTCCCCCTTGATTTGTCAGATGACGAACTTTTCGCGCAAACTCCTAAGGAACTAGAGGAAGCGAAAAGTCGGCTCACAGAAGATGGCTGGAACACGGATGGGAAACTTAGGGCAGCAACCTGGGCTCGACTACGATATATTTTGAGTCAGTTTCGGGAAGGAATTGTGGAATATCATTTTCAAGCATCACAGGCAGCTGACCCTGCCCAGCTCAGGTATGAACCATCAATCGGAGAGATGCTGAATAGTCACTGACAACTAATTAGAGAGTTGTCTTCTCGATGTCATCAGACTTGGGATAACCTGCTTCCCCACCTGAGGTATACTCAGGATTGTTGGGAATCCGACATGCCTCTTACCAATTGTTATATGCATGCGAAGATTCATCTGGCCTACCTCCAAATCCATTTCCAGATATACCACCTCCTTGGAGAAGATAGCTCATCTCCGCTTCCCGAGCTGCTTGATGTGTCTGCAAACATATTGGAGACAGCTGTGCAAATGGGAAATTCTCGCAGAAAAGGTGCCTTTACCTTCAATGATTTGCCTGAAATCGTACGTACTCCCCTACCTCACCGTCCCATTCCTCTTTTGCATAGCTGACAGGGTGAAGCTTCTGTCCTGCGGCTTGCCCTCTGCCGCAGTCCTTTCCACTGCACTAGAAAACATTACGCAAGATCCTTCAGGAATCCTTCCTCCTGGTATAAAGACATCGGCTGTGATTCGGAATCTTTCCGTACTTGCATCGCAACTGGAAAGTGTGGCTAGTTCCCGGGAAAGAAATCAAGCGTTCTGCTTGCAGGCTGCAAAAGCTATCACGGAGAAGTTGGACAAGATCTTGGACAAGTTTGCGACATCAGAGTTTCAGGCAACTCCTGATGTCGCGACAAGCACTGAAGTGAGCCCGATGACCCCTAATATTGACAGTTCCCTCGCTAGTGGAGCTGGGGAGATTGGTGCTATCAATCTGGACGATTACGAGAATTTTGATCTAATGTCTTGGGCAATAGATTTCGACCTGGGAAACACGGCCAGCAACTGGACTATGATGTAAGATCAAAATCATTACGGAATCCAGGGGCGCCCAGGTATTTATATCGTCTGAAATAACTAGACAACGAGAGGAGTACTTTTATTCGAGACAGTGTTATCTGTGGACCCAGAAATATGACAATTTCTACAAGGAGACGGGCGACACATGACGCTTTGGTTTCCAGTTCTAATTCTAACGATTCTTATGCCCGAGTTATTCAAGGAGATCTTCCATGATCTAGGCACATCCTTAGAGTGTGTAAAGAAATACTAGTTGTCAGGCTAGTCCTATTGGTCAGCGAGTTGAATAATAGGGGGAGAAACGTATGGTATTCTTTTTATAGAGACTAATTCTTGCCAAGTCCAAGTTTCAGGGGGAGGCACTCTTATACCTCTTCGTCCCTAAATCGTGGTGGTCACGATGATATATCTAGCTACCATCGGAGTCCTCTTTTGCCATATGTTAGTGCTCAGCATGGTCATATAGTGTATCCCTGGAGAGGACGGCCAAGAACTTGGGACAAAGAAGCTAAATATACATCAAGGTCCCGGAATCCATTTCCATAATGCTTTTCCTTTACATTTCCAGCCGTGGTCAAAAGTTAGCATATAAGAGCATGAATAATAACGAGATACCGGTGTGATAGATAGTAGGAGGAGGTAGGAAACGGCGAGGAAAATGCGGAAGAAGGTTCAGCCAGGAGGCAACGGATAGTTGATTACCTCGAGCTAGAGGAATATGAACTTGTGTAAGAGGAAGATGATATCCAGTTTCTGACCGCTGTCAGAAATATAGTATTTGCCATAGACTACTGAGGGGCCACCTGGGCCAGTTGGAAGTTGAGCCTTGCTCACTGAGTGGGTCACGCCGGCCATGGTGGGCTTTTTACATGGAGGGTGGCTCTGAGGTGGCTCAGGGAGGCCATGGTGGGCCTTTTGCATGGAGGCTCGCTCTGAGGTGGTTCAGGCCGGCCCTCACAAACCTGCGTCTTATTCCTAATAAATTAAAAAATAATAAGACAACAAACATATTCGGTCAAAATTCAAGTGTTGATTCCATGATCAAGTAAATTATTCAGTTTAATAGTGCTTTAAAGGGTCTGCTGTCAAATTGTTCCTACAGTCAGTAAGTTGAAGGCCGCAATTACCGGTAGGTCTCAATAGCCAATTCTATAAAAAGGAATTCAGTCACGTGTATCATCCAATACCGGGCTGTCGTCCCGAAGGGTTTGCAGGGTTTGCATCCCTTAGTGGCCTCAGGCACTCCACAGAGAGTGGATGCCTGAGGCTGGCCAGGGCCAGGGAGTGGTCCTGGGCACACAGAGAGAAAGGGTTTCTATTGGTCTAAAAGCGAGGGCTCCACCGATTATGTAATTATATTCACTTTTATGGCCTAGCTAGTACTATCCAATAGAAACCATGCGATCCTTACAGAATCTCAGGGCGGACACTAATCAAAAACACAAGTTGATGTTTAGTAAATTTAGAACCGTACAGGATGGTTCGAAATCAGATTCACCACTTGCACATAGAGGTTCTTTCTCGAACCCTCTCTTGAAACCCACTATCCCATTTAGAGTTAACCTGCCCCTGACCCCCCCTTCTTGGCAGTGTTCCGATACGGTTTTAAATTACAACCTAAAATAGATTCCGTATTAAGCCTGTATGGTCCTAAGGGCTTCTAAAACGTTCATTTGCGAGGTAGTTACAGACGCGCTCGAAATCAGTTTCACCTTTTTACTCTCTTCAATTCTTTGTTGAACTTTGTGCTACATGACGCCTTACCATTTACGGTTAGCTTACTCTTGATAACACTCAAGGTGGTATTTCAGTACGGTATTTTATAATGACGTATACGTAGCTATCGTATCATGGTTGTATGGGCTATGCCCTGTCTACAACTTCACTTGCAAAGACCACAAGCAAACAAGTTGGCAGGGATTGCGGTCCGTTAACTGGCCACTAACTAAACTCTCACGGTCAGAAAACGTGATAAAATAAAGCTTTAAGCATATAAGTAATTTCTGGCTAGTCAGAAACAGTGGTGGGCGAAGGGAGCTCTCAACGTACATGGAGAAAAGTGACTACAAAAATCTAAGTAAATTGTATAGGATAGAAATATATATCTCTCATGATAACACACTTTCTACCACGACTTCCTTTTTACACCACCAAAGGGGATCACTAGACTTTAAATTTTACTTAGGTTGGTCATGACAATA